AAAAAAAAAAAAAAAAAATTACAAGGAAAAGCTATAATAAAATAAAAAAATAAAAACAAAAAATTGGGAACCATGTGACCAACAATATTATTTTGTATTTATATATGTAATGTGCATTGACCTTCTTAAATTAAGAGAGCGCATGTTCTATGATGTTCGTGACAGTTGGGCTTTGAAAAGTATTGTTGGCTTAAATAAATTTAATATTGTTTATTTAAATCATGAATGCTATTTTTTTTATAAAAAAAAAAACAGTTGTATTTATCTGACTTAACATTGGTTGTCCACTAATTAATTTATAGTATACTTTTGTTAGAAAAAAAAAAATAGTTAAGTAGTTAGAAAGTTTTCAGCGAGCATTTTTCAGAGGAATAATTTGTAATAATATTCATACTTATTTTGGATAGATGTTAAAGTTTGTTATGGAATCATTAGGTCAGGGTTTATAAGGGCTTCTCCAATGGTTAGCTATTTGGCTAACTATTATGACGTGGACATGAAAAAAGTAAGAGAGAGAGTAGTCACTAGCTACTAACAAATAACTTATCTATTTCACGTAGCCCAAGATCATGTGAGAGGAGTACATGAGTCCAATAGTGTAAAATAATTATTTTTCTTATCTTTCACATCCACGTCAGCTAACCATATAGCTAGTAATAGCTATTACCATTGGAGATGCCCTAACCGTTAGATTAAATCTTCGATAGTTACATGATGATTTAACGGTTACAAACCCACCATAATATTTCCCCTATTTTGTTAAAAAAAATATATATTTTTTTTAACGTTGCACTAAATTTAAAATTGTTAATAGACATAAAATTCCTTTTCGAATGAGTAATAATCATTAAAATGTAATATATAATTAGGTAAAATATAACATTCACTTTTTTTATTTTTTTTTGTTTGTCCATATAGTATGGATCAATATCCTTCCATATATATTAATTCAAAACGTGTTGAGCTTAAGTAGCAGATTCACACTCTTCGAATGCTGACATGGCAAAAATCTATGCTTCGTGATGTTGTTTTTATATTATTTTTGTTCTGGAGTTAGGTTTGGTATTAGACATAAATAACTTTACACATATATTCATTAACTCAACACTCATGTTGTACATGGATATAATTACTAGTATGTATTATATGAAAAGGACAGTTAACTTATATGTTTTTCATTAGTCGATTCCCCTGTAGCTCCAGAAACCGGAAAGTCCTGTAAAAATAAAAATTGAATGAACAACGATAAATTAGAAACGCAACACAACATGAGTTCAATAATTAAAAAAAAAAACGTACTTATAATAACAAATAATAAAACATCGAGGTCCTTTTCGCATAAGCCAAGTTGAAAAATGGACGTCCCGGCAAATTCCACTTTTCAAGACACGTGCTTTAATTACTCTATCAAATAAAATTATATATATATATATATGTTATATACATAGAATGGGTATTAGAAATGATTGTCGGTAAAATAAATAAGAATATACAATAATCATACATTTAATAATCCAACAGTCAAAAAAATGTCTAAAATTATAGAATAATAAAGAATATATTAGACATTCTCTACCTCCTATTGTTCTCAAAATAATGTTACATCATAATATGGATTACACACTAGTAATTGGTACATTTGACATTCTCTATCTCCTATTCTTAACCAACACCCTCACACGTCACATCACATGCCCCCACAATCACTCCGTGCAGCGACCACCATCAATGCCGGCCAGACCATCCATAGCCACCACCTCCGCCTATTTCAGCTGAGCATCTCCGCTCCATCGGCATCGTCACCGTCCTCCTCCCTGGTCGATCGCACCACCAGTGCCGTCACTAGCTCCCAGGCGATGATCCTCTTGCGTGACCTTACTTCACATTGTCGATTTTTCATGATTTTTCCCATCAGACGAATGCGCCCGGATTTCTCGATTTTCGTTGCTCACCTCAATGTTGCCCTTCTCCTCCTTATCATCCTTCTCGTCTGCGAGCTCCACCATCACCATCGGGGGCTCCTTGACGATACGATGTTGCACGGTTGGCCACCTTCCCGATAAGCTAGTTGATAACTTATAAGTGAATTTCGAGCACAGAGTTGGTAGTTTATGACGAATGTCTGAAAAGCTATCTAATAAATAAACTGCTTGATAAAATTAGTTGATAAGTCAGCAAAAATAAAAATTCAATTTACTTTTAAAAAAAAATTACATAAGGAAGCTTATATGAGACAAGTTTCATTTTTTTACAAAAAACGTCCTACCAACCAAATTTATTTAAACAAGAAGTTTATAAACTAACTAAATAATATAATAAAATGAGAAGACAAACGAAAGTATGATCCTGTTTGGCCATTAGCTGATGGCAAATAACAAATAACTGATAGTGGATTGTAATAACTTAATGGTAGATAGGGGATAATTGATTGTAATAGTTGATCTAACTAACAGATTATATTAGTTGTTTGTAAATAATTATTTCGTAAATAACGATTTGTATAGTTATTTTTTAAATTTTATTTTACGAATTTTCTCTTCTCAAAACACTCTTAAAGCATATACAATGCATTAATCAAGTTTTGCCTCTTATATGAAGTTTTTTCAAAATTAGCTAGATTAAAAAAGCTAACCATATAAGTTTTATACCAAATAAATTAATTATCAAATTTAACGGGTCAAACTTCTAAATAAATTCATTGCAATTAGCGGCATTCAATATCTAACGGAAAACGTTAGTAGGATGAATGAAGGGCCAAAACATGTATAACGGCGCCAGTTATACAAGTGGGCCCCATATTCGAGCAATGCCTTTAAGATACAGAAATGAGTGGCTACGCATATCTTGTTTCGTTTATCTGCTGTCAGGAAAAACATAAATTAAAAGTGCACATGTTTTCCCGGACACCGGCGCTTCCGGTAAGTACAAATGGGTCCTATTGCATATGGGCTTTTTCTAAGCATCCCACGGCCCACTTATCTGTAAAATTTCAGCTTCATAATTTCACTTCTCCTTACCCCTCGGGAGAAAGGAGTTAAAGGGGAGAAAGGCTGCACGTTGTCTTGACTCACAATTTGGGTGTGACCAAAAAACTACTACGGAGTGATGGCTCCTTTATGGAGTCATCCATAATTTTATATACTGACACATGTCCTACGTGCATTTATTGCAGGACACGTGTCAATACATCATTTGTGAATAACTATGGATGACTCCGTAACCGAGCCATCCGATGACTCCATATCAAAACAGAACTCACTCAAACTCAAACTCAGTTCATTCACAAATAGTAGCAAACAATTGAGAAAGAGGGAGAGAGCAAGATTTAGTTCCTAGAATTGTGTCCAAATAATAGTTACACAGTCTATATAATCTAATATCAAACAAAGTACACAAGAATCTGATAAATCAGCATCTTTTAGTCAAGAATAAATGTAATAAAAACAAGACATTAAATTTATTCTACATCTGTCACAAGTTCAATGAGAGTGGAGCCACCATAATATGATGTTTATTTCTCTTATTTTTTTTTTTTTTAAGTTAGTACAATAATACAACAAATTACATAATGAGTTAATCGATTCACCTCTTTCGCTTGCAGGATCTCCACTGCATCAGTAGGACCTCGGCTCCTTCCTTGAGGTAAGCTCTCCTACCTTCATGGTAGTTCCACAGTTCTGAAATTATGTACCTTCCGCTCGGGTTATATTCGTTTATCTCACACAAAGCTGATGTCACAGCATTGTATATTTCGTCTCCATAATTCTTCTTCAGGTCTCTTAGTTTCTCGTCATCTTCGTTTATCACAGCCTTAAACCAACCGAAAGGAAAATAAATGAATAAAATAAAGTCAGTTCTGTATTAGATCATGCTTCATTTTGCTGACATGGCTCTCAAACTCAAACTTCAGTTTTGATCCCCAATTTTTTTTTTTTTTCAATAGTACAATTTAAAGATGAATGTGGTTATCAGATGACTCTTAAAAACATACCAGTGGGCCAATGGATGACTATAATATTGACACAAAAACGACGAATTGAGCAATGATTTTTTTTTTTTTTACCAAATTGTTCACCGAACTAAAATTTCAACAATGCAAAATTAATCGTGTACTAAGAAAATAGAATTTAACTGATTTTTATTAAGAATTCATTGCCGTGTCTAATAACTGTAAGACCCAACATCTGGAACTTTGAGGATGTATGTATCTAACTTCTCAAGTATATAATATTACCAACAACCAGTTGTTGATACAAGCTGATAAAAGCAAAAAGTCCTTTATAGAAAAATACTTACTTCCAATATGCTTCGACTGCTTACCTGGTAATTACCATTACTGTTAACCACTTTTATAGGATGCCATTCAGGGTCCCTAAGGTACTCTTCCCACAGAGAGCACAACTCAGTAGCCCTCTCATCTGCTTCGACATCATTGTACCTTCTCTTCATTGCTTGATGAAATGGCTCGCTGTCGAGTTCTCCCATCCTCTTGATACCGATATGAGATTTTATCGACATTTCTTTCAAGCCCTGCAAAGCAACTTCCTTTAGCACTTACATAATACTTGTATCCAAAAAAAGGTCATTTAAAGCAAATAATAAAGAGAATTCTGTCTAGGTCTGCATAGTCTCGGTCAATCATCTGAACATTGTTCTAATAATGTTGAGGAGGTTGAAAATACAACTCCAAACATGAGGTGAAACATTACAGCAAAAAAAATGCAGAAATTTTGAAAAATGCAAAACTATGGTTAATCAAAAGCTATTGAAGCTGATACATCAAATTACAAATTCGTCAAAAGGCTTTGTTTACAGCAAATAAGTTATATAGCCTATTTCTTGAACTTGGCTGGGAGGATATGGGGAAAATTGATTACAGAACATATAACTATGATTTATTCATTAACCTATCTGTTATATCAATGTCAATTCACGATTTTTTGTATGTTGGGGGTAGTTGATTTGGCAGCTTGGCATCTCAGTCAACCCAGTAAAGAACAAATGCTTAGTTTATCACGAAAGAGGCACAGCTAATATGTACTAATGCAAATGGAAATAAAGCAAATGTTTGAAGGTGTGAATTCCTTTTTTTTTTTTATAATATTATGTAAAACGATTAGAAACCTCACATTAACCATTTCTTTGCGAGCATCCTGTAATTCCTCGTTTCTCTTGCGCTCCTGCACAATTAAAGTTTGGTTTAATGAGTCCAGTTCTTGAAGTTCTCCTTCTTTCTCTCTCATTGCCTTGAGCAGTATTTCCACTCTGTTTAACACTTCTAAATCGCCTTCGTCTCCCATGTGCTTCACCACATTTAGTTTACCTCTCAACTGCTCAATCTCAAGCTGTACTGCTTGTTTGGCATCCAGTTGTTTCTCCAGTAGAATGATCCTGTTATGGAGCCTGTCCTTCTCCTTCTGAAAACGGAAAAGAAAATCATTCCTATTCTCGTAAATGTTTTAACTTCAAATTACAGAAGCAAGTCCAGAAGCCACTCGAATAGTACCAAGAACAAATAAGTACCTTATGTTCTTCATACAACTTCATTACATTTTCATCGGCCTTACGTTGCTCCTTGGCAGCAGCTTGAAGAGAGTAATTTTTCACGGCATTCTGGAAAGGTAAAGGCATAATAACATAACCATATTTGCCGAGATGGAAGAGCGGATGGGAATTAATGAGGATGGTGCATGGCTAAATTTGTCGTTCTCACTAAAACAGTCATTTGAAATATTGGAAGTGGGCATGACACGCATATGCATTACCAATATAACATCCAGAACAAAGAGTCTAGTCACTTCTCATGGAGAATATGATGGCTTCTTGTTTGATATGCTTCTGCAGAACATAGGTAATTCAATGTATCTAAAAAGCTCAACTAGTGGGTTACATTCGACTGGCCAAAGACCTCAACTCTATTATAACTAATAATAAAGTATGCAAAGACAGGTGACGGTGAAATAAATATGAACTCAACTAAAGAAAACACTTCTTAGTCAGTCAGATGCGGAAAGGACGAAACAATCAAACTGGATACTGCGGAATAAAAATGTTGTTTGAACTAATTTCTCATGTTCATCACTAGCAAAAGGATTGACTGAGAAAAAGGTCAGACAACAAGATACTTGAAACAAGAATGACACTCATGTCCAATATCATCCAGCCTAATAATGACATCAGCAAAATACAAGCAGATTGAGACAGGACAGCATAGTAATCTATTATCAAGAAAGGATCATGTGCTAGACAAAATTAACAACGCCCAATTATCGATCATGGTCAACACCTTTCGTTCTCTTCTGAAATCATGGTGCTATCAGAGTACATCTAGTTGATCTGTCAATAGATGATAACCATGACTAGCAATTGACGGTAGAATAGGAAGGCAATCTAGGAATTCCACAATCTCAGAAAAAACGATGACCTGTTTGTAACGATATCCTTTTACATAAAAGGAAAATTATTGGTAAGGACCCTTTTTGGTTCCTTGCAACCGTGAAGTGATACACCATCATACAGGATAAATGGAACTTAGTGCTGCATTCTGACAATAGGTTTAAGCCAACAAAACAAAAGAGTAAAGCAAATCTAGGAGATGTTGTGCAGAACCTGTTCAAGCTCATCCGCAAGCTTTTTCTTCTCAATCTCATTATCCGTCTCACGCTTAACAAGTTCTTGACCCCGGAGCTCAAGTTCTCTTTTCTGAGATTCTAATTGTGATTTCAGCTTCTCGTGGTCACTGAATATCTTCCTAAAATGATCTCGTGCACCAGACTCAATCTTTTTTATCTCTGGTGAACAACAAAGGAATAAAATCATGTATGAAAGTAAATTCTAGTAGAGTATTATTTGGATGATGAATTTTAACTTTATGCGTACAGAACCTTCATTGTAAGCTTGATGGATGCTGTCTTTTTCCATGATCAACTGGCGAAGGGAGCTCTCGGTCTCCTTGAATTTGCTCTCCATCTCTAGCAAGTGCAGATTCTTCGCCTCAATAGCACTGGTTAAATTGCTGACAAGCTTCTTCGTCTTTCGAGCCTCTTCTTCCATGACATCGGATATAGTTCTCAGATCCCCAATCTTGCGAAGACTTTCTCCCATGATATTATCAGAATTATAGTCGTCCGCACGAGCAACCCACGCGTAAAGGTCCGACTTTTCCTCGTTTTCTGCTAACCAATGGCTCTTCCCATGATGACTAGCCACATAAGCTTTCTCGAAGGACATGGCGTTTATGAACCCAGACCAGTCCGTTTTGAACTCTACAATAGCAGTTCCTGAATGGTCATGAAGATTCCACAAAGTCCGAACTCTAGTCGGACTAAATCCTCTAGTTGTCAACTGATCCCTCAATTTACTACCACTCTCTCCCACACAATGGCCATCCTTAACTACAGTAGAAATATTGACAATGATGCCAATCCATGGCCAGACAAACATCTCATCATGCTCATCTTCCGCATGCTTATCCACCTCAGCCTTCGCCACATCATCAATATGTAAGTCATCCGAAGGCATAGCAGAACAATCATCATCGATTACGTATGTTTCCAAGTATTTTGCAAGGGCAAGGTGATTCCCCTTATCTCTAGTGGTTCTTCTTTTCGAGTCACAACTCGCAATCGAACTCGCATGCTGCAAGAGGTCTTTAAACTGAAAATTTCGCTTGCTCGTGGTAGGGCAGTAGGGGCATAAGTAACTTAACCGAGCTTCCTCTCCCATGATATCCGACAACGTCCTAAGTTCCCCAATCTTGCGTATATTTTCTCCCAAAGGGTTATTAGCGTTATAATCGTCTGCTCGAGCGACCCACGCGTAGAGGCCCGACTTTTTTAAATTCTTTACCAGCCAATTGCTTTTTCCGTGACGACGAGCCGCGTAAACTTTCTCGAAAGACATCGCATTAGTAAATCCGGACAAATCGCTATGAAACTCAACGATTGCAGTCCCGGAATGGCCCTGGGCATTCCACAAGGGCTGCACCCTTGTCAGGTTAAATCCTCTCTTTGCAAACTGACTCTTGAGTTCACAGCTACTCTTCCCCACATAGCGACCCTCCGTAAATTCCATTGGAATATTGACAAGTACCCCAATACAGGGCCATACAAAAATCTCGTGATGATCGTGGTCTGCAAGGATATCTACTTCAGGAGGTGGGTTTGAAGGGCCCTCGTCAACGGGGATGTCTTTTTCTAAATACTTTGCGAGGGCAAGGTGATTAGCCTTTTCTCTTGCACTTCTTTTATCTGTGGTGCAAGCACCGATGGCGCTAGCGTGCTGCAATAGATCTTTGTACTTGAAATCATGCTTTCGTTTGTCGAAACAGTAAGGGCACGTGTAGGCTTTGCCCGATTTTTTGACCTGATATTTACCGTTCTTAAGCTCTTCATATGTCTTCTCCTCATACTCCTTAGCTTTGGACTTGCGGATGCTAGTGCCCTCATCTAAACCATGCGCACCCAAGCTTCCCATGATTCACCAACTCACTGAAAATGTATCAGCATGTTAAACAGGATTTCAATCCGTAACAATTGTCATTTCTTATTTTAAAAAAAAAAACCTGGGAATCAAATGCTCGATTTTGATTGACATTGTGTGATTTTACCAACTAGGATCATGGGCTATTGGCATGACAGAAAGTTCAAGGATTTTTCAGCTAGGTTCGGGCAAAATTTGACACACCAAATCAACAAATACAATATCAATGCTTATACGGCAATTGTAGCACTAAATGTCACTAGAGTCCACACTCGACTTGACATGTTCTTACATCACCTTATATATATTTGGCCAGCAACTGTGTGCAATCATAATCACCTTATTTTGTCGAAACACAGACCACACATCGAAGTACTCCAAAGATATCGGGTCAAATCATCAAAATCCTTAAGGCGACTCCGCAAATCTCTTTATCCATGTTAATTTTACCAAAAGAATACTTACAACACATTTTCAGCTGTTTCTGTAAATTCTGTTGAATAAAATATACTGCTCAATTTCAGCTAATTTCTCTTCGTATCTTCTGCAATTTTTCTACAGAACTGAACTAAACCAAACAAGCAGAAGTAAAACTTACGACCCACAAGATCTAAAGCAGAATTTTTCACAATCCCTCCACATTGACGAACCTTATGATCTGAGCAAAAATAAAATAAATAAAGTTCTACTAATTTTCTGTAAAAATTGACGAACCTCGGGATCTGTAGCAGAACTTGGGACAACCTCATCACTCATCACTCATCAGTCTGTCACACTCGGCTACATCTGCACAACGCACCCCAAAACAAGAGCGAAAATGGAGAGCGCTATATAAAAGCTTACACATATACGAGTTATGAGAATTTACTCGTCAAATTAATTCCAAAATGCACATACAAATACTGAATTTTACTCGCCAATATTTGAAGGCGAGGGTGAACATGCAAGTAAAATTACCCCTGCAGCAGCGAAAATGGAGAGCAATTGAGCAACGCAGGCATGTACACAAGAGCGAGTTGAGATGACTCACCGAGTTGCGAAGCGAGTGGAAATGAGTCTGGGTTAGTGCTGGTGAGTCAAGAGGCTCTCTCGGGTGCGGATCATAAGCCAAATTGTGCAGGCATAAGTCAAAGGCTGGTTTTATTTATTTATTTATTTATTTATTTATTTATATATTTTTCCATTTTTTCTGTTTTTTCATCATAAATGTATCGTATATGTGGCAGTGGCAGACAGATTCTCTCTGAAATCGAGGAGCTAAAATATTTAATTATTTATAAATTGATATTATGATTAAATTAGATTTATTTATTTATATAGTATTAAAATGGATCGTATAAAATGAATGAATAATTTGATTTTATTATTTATTTATTTATAGATTAAAAGATGTACCGGGAATATTGGTGACTTTATAGGATGGTGAAATAAAGTATATTTTTGGACAATGATGGAATAAAAGGACGGATCCAAATCAATTAGGAGTATAAGTTTTGGATAAATTGTTATGTTAGTCAACCTAACAATTATATAGGTGGATTAATCATACATTTTTGTTTTAATAAAAAATGCATATTTACTTTTTATGAAATGTTATATTTTTATTTATCTTGTTTTTTTTACTGTATTATATTTCAGTTTGAAAATATAAAGATACGATAAAAAAGTATATTTGTTGAGTTTAAACGTATAAATATACATTGAAAAAGTATAATTATATATTCGTTAGATTCTTGTTCAGTTTTAAAGTATAAATATACGATAAAAAAGTACACTCGTCTAATCAGAAATTCTATAGAGCCATCGCATGATCTATCGGAATGATTATCTTATAGTGTCATCCATCACTTAATATATTGACACATGTCTACAGTGTATTTATTGAAGGACACATGTCAGTACACTATTTGTGAATAAGTGTAGATGACTATATATATAGCATAATTGTTGTCTAATAGTATCAATTATGTTGTGGAAAGTATTAAATCTTTAGTTTTTTATTTTTTTTTTCAGTTATTTTAAGAATAGAAAAGTCAATATTGTTGATAATGGTGTAAAGGAGTATGGGAATTGACCACAGCTTAATAATACATAGCCAGTCTGAATATGACTCAACATGCATTTGTCTTTCTCGTAATTAAAGCTACTAAATAAATTGTAAGATGAACATTTCTAGGGCTCCAAACAATCATTTGGTCTATAGCTCTATAAAGTCGACATAGCCGGTTAATTTTACCTTGATCGTAATAATAATAACAATGTACCTCTGAGTTTACTTAAGGTAAATCTTGCATACGACTCAATAATACACAATTAATCTGCATATGATACGTGAAGTTCCCATCATTTCACACCAAAAACATTCATCTCTTCCTCATCAACTGAAAAGTGAATTATATTAACCTTAGGATGTTGAAATGGAAAGTTATTCTACCGGCAGCTTGGATTTACACAAACTGCTCGGGAAATAAAATGAAGATTAGTTATTACGCCTTATCACAGGGCTCGAGTGGCAAAAGACACAGAACAAGTAAATCCCCCTCAACAGAAATAAGGAAAAACGAAGGAGAAAAACGTAAAGAGGGAAAGAAAAACTCATCCAATTAATATCACCCGTCTCAAACCAGCCCCCTCTGTTTGAAGACTTCGAGCATTGCAGTTCCTATTTTCGCAGGGGACTCGACTACAGTAACCCCAGCTTCTCTCAGGGTCTTAATTTTGTCTTGTGCCGTGCCCTTTCCTCCGGATACAATAGCTGCAGGTAAAGACAAAAACTGGGCCTGTCGGTTGGTACTAAATTCCAAGCATAAATCACAAATCAAGTATGCAACACAGAGAGCTGACTCGATCGAGATTATAACATAAATAGGGTTTGTATAAGGATCAAAACCAGCTTGAATTCAAATATTTAACTTTGTCTGTCATGCCCAAGCTAAAAAATTGATTGAAGCCGGGAAAGTAAAATATAAGTATAGTTCAATAGCTGTCTCCAGCTTTGACATAAGTTTACAGGAAAAGTAATATACATAGCTGGAATCTTTCGTGATTCATGTAAAGCAAACATATACAGACACTGAAACCAAGTCATACAATAGATAAAGATGTGTGTGTGTGTGTGGATTGACGAACATACAGATAACGTGAGAGGGCAATAAATTCATAGGATATTACAAAAATACAGTACCTCCTGCGTGACCCATTCTTCGACCTGGTGGAGCGGTGAGTCCAGCAATAAAAGCGACAATAGGCTTGTTGGTCCCACTTTCCTGTTACATTGAACATGGAGAGAGAGAGAGAGAGAGAGAGAGAGAGAGAGAGAGAGAGAGAGAGTTCATATATTGTATATTATCAAATGAAACCAGCAGCAGGTAATCAGAAATCCAAAACAGTCGGAAAAGCCAAAACTTTTGTGTGAACGCATGTAGAAAATAATATAGAGGTCAAATTAAAAAAAAAAATCTTTCAGAAATATATAAATATCTCATACAGCAGAAGGTAATAAAGATGTGGATGGCCCTTAAAATGGTTCTGCTGTACTTCCTCTTGAAAAACAACTTTTTTGTTGCTTGTTGAAAAAAAAAAGGAGGATATAATAAAGATCATTCTCGCTCAACACATCAAATCACCATTCACTATCAAACACCAATATCGAGTAAATCATTAAGTCAGACACAAGTGGACATTTCACTCTCTTATTTTTCGAATTACAAACGTTAACCAGGAAAATTTACAAATACAAAAATATAAGAAACAAAGTTAATCTGATTGCCTCCGCTTCGTTATAAAGGATAAATTAGATCATCTACATAGTTGGACGGCAGTTCGACCAGAACACTCAATTGGCTTAAATTAAAACAGGTAAGTTCTTCGGGAACTAAATCACAACTTAACACTCAACTCCAAGTATAACTATAAAGCATTACAAGCCTACACAAAGGGTCTGTACATAAATACAATTCTATACCCTTTTTTTCCTAATATATACAGAACTGCTGCTAAGAGAAAATGTCCAGAGAGCAGTACTTTGGTTCAACATGCAACTGTGAGAACAGCACTTACCTTTATAAGGGCTGCAGCGTCTTCCTCTGCTGTACCACCAATCTCACCAATTAGGATGATGCCTAAAATGTGAAATACAAAGCAGTGGTATCTTAGCTATCAGCAAAAGAACGGGTTCAAAATCTTAGTAGTAACATATTTTTCTTAATCATTGGTAATTATATAAGTTACTGGGCTTAAATACTATACATTTCGTTAACATCTATCTACTGACAGCAAATCAGTCATTTGAGGCAGACCTGCCAAACTAACACTAAACTAACACTGATCATAAATATAATATTGCAGTTTCATGTCAGTCAATGCGATAAAAACTGATCAATTGATGGCTGAGGACAGCCATCCCTGTCCAAGTTCACATTCATCAATGAAGCAAGATAAGCCTTATTGTTGCTAGTTTTTGTTATTATCCCCCTCCTATTCTTCGTTAAGGATACAAATATTTGTCAGGAGTTCATCAAATAAAGCTTAGCCAAACACTGACGACCCGTACGATGTGCCCAAAGCCTAGCGTGGCCCATTATCAGAATATATCTCCAACTATAGCAAGATGAATTATGTGCAACTTCTAAATTTTTACCATCATTAAAAAAAAAGGTTCAGAAAGTCTTTTGCAACATAATCTATATTAGCCATCACCACTGCCAGCGGCAGAAGCTTATCACAACAATTCCCACTTGACTCGCTGACTTAACATTTGAGTTATATTTCAGTGCACGAAGTCATGAACCCCAAAGGTTGGATAGGTTGGACTTTGGAGAAGCCAATTATATTCATTTCCCCACCACTTAGTAAATCTAATTATTTTCGGTGGACAAGAGTTATTATATATGACCTGAAAATATATTTGAGTCAAGTATTTCAAAAAAAATAAATAAAATACATTTTACGGAGAGGTATAATAAGATTATAATGAGGTGGCAAATGAACGGATAGCCTAGTTAAATCTACCTTCTGTCTGGGGATCCACAAGAAACTTTTCTATGCAATCAACAAAATTTGTTCCGTTAAAAGGATCTCCACCAATTCCCACACATGTTGACTGCCCAAGGCCAACAGCAGTTGTTTGGAATACCTAAACATATAGACAGAGTTATTCAGACAGCAGCCAAGATAAAAATTGCAAGATATATGATTATCAGTATGCACTCAAATTAAATGTTAAATACTTAACTTTAGAAAAGGCATGTCATTACAACAAGAAATCTCACCGCTTCATAAGTCAATGTGCCCGATCGAGAAACAATCCCAATACGTCCTGGTTTGTGAATGTATCCAGGCATAATTCCAATTTTACACTCCCCTGGCTTGATAATGCCAGGACAATTTGGTCCAATTAGCAGAGTTTTTGACTGCTTATTAAGAGCAGCCTTCACCCGAACCTGAAGTTTTAAAATAGGACATCAAATAACAAAAAAGTGTAACCAGGTATAAGCTTACATAGAAGTTTTGTCACTATTATATCTGGTCATCAAATCAACGATATGAAAAACCATGACAAAGTCAGAAACCTCATATAGAGGACGTTAATATGTCATTTAACAGATTATAAAAAATCACGACTCAATCAAACAAGATTCAACATGATACGAAAGACATCGTTCATGCTTCTATTGTGGTATGGACAAATAGAAAGCGTTATCACATTAGCAGTAATTATTGGAAATCAGAAATAGTAGGAGCTTTCCTTTATGTTTCTCAATTTAAAGTTACAAATAACCACTTAGCAGTTTTTTTTTTTTAATGCTTCAAAAATTGCCTTTCCAAACTTCAACCTTTAATAGTAAAATGGGTTCACATACTATACATGAAACAGATACTCTTCTATCAATATTTGAATGTCACGACAACTATATGCATCCTATTATATTCAAAGACATGAAATATTCTAATTCACAGTTTAAGCAAGTTTGACTGATCAAACTTGTCATCTATTACATTAACTAACAAACAAGACCCAACCTTTTACACTTAAACAAGGAGTTTCCATCTGCTAACCTACACTGCAATAGAAGATTGTGTGAGGGCAATTTCTCTTGTATAATATTTATTGACCTGGAAAAGTAATCATTATTCCGCTAAAAGAATTTGGAGCATATGATCTTCGTCTAAATTTTCATTACTACTACAATTCAAAGAATACCAACAAAATTATATACATACACAGAAGCTATTTCAATTAGAACACGTTGAAGAAAGACCATTCAATTTGGCATTGTTAAAAGACAAAGGTATGTTACCATGTCATGTTGTGGTATTCCCTCTGTGATGCAAACGACCAAATCTAGTTCGGCCTCCATTGACTCCATGATGGCTTTAGCAGCAAAAGGTGGCGGAACATAAATGACTGAGGCATTGGCCTTTGTTTCCGCTTTTGCTTCGGCAACAGAGTTGAAAACAGGAAGGCCCAAGTGCTCTGTTCCACCTTTTCCAGGGGTCACTCCTCCAACCTATAATGGATATAATATGTCATATTTTTCACATTGGAACTAATTAACACGCTTTTAACAATACTCATTGATCCCATTATCAGAAATTCATTTTCGTTCCTATATTATCAGATTTATAATTTCACAAAGTATCAGGGTTGAACATGGATTAATGGAACTGTGGAGGGATTTGGGGAAAAATATTTGGATCCACAATATAGATACTCGTACATGCACATGTATATATGTCCGTGTTTGTGAGCATTTGTGTCTGTGCTTGTATATGTGCATCCAATATATATGTAATTTTAATATTTGGTTCCACTGTAGTAACTCTAACTTAAATTAAATTTTCAAAATCCAATGGCACAAATATATTTAGAATCATGGTCTGAATAAGAGCTTTACACATACAAATCTACTGAATCAATATCAATAAACTAATAAAGAGAAGTATTCAACTTAAACGATGAAATACTAGCATACACTAAATATTTTTAGCTATGCACCACAATATTCAAACAATAATCGTCTCAAATGATTTTCGCGATGGCTTAACTAATTAAGAGACAGCTACAGAAAAATTTATCATGACCAGCCAAGAAAATTTGTATCTTCAAAAATAGACAATTCATCATTACTAAAAAAACTGCACTAAATTCCACTCTTTATGAATGAAGTAGGTTCTGCTATAATCTTACGTATCTACATCCATCTATCACAAGAAAACTGGATTTCATTTTTGAAAGATGACCAAGTTTATCATTGACTATAGCAACTAAAACCAACCAAACAAACAAATTAATCCTAGACACCCATGTTATTTAGCTTATATGTTCATGTATATCCATATATGTTCAAAACTTCAAATGCACTTGAATAACAAGGGAAGGCCATTTTTAACTTCTGAACGAGTTTAAGCGTAATATTTAACAATGCAATTCCGGAGAACAAGTATATATGTAATTCACACATACACGCACACTGCCCGATCGGGTAGCTCTTGCTTCAATCAACTCTGATTAGTAACCATTTGCTCGTGATAAAAGCTCTAAAAATATTCCAGGCGCCTAAGGATCCATTATTAAACCAAATTTTGAAAAGAAACAACCACAAATATGAATGTAGTTTCTCATTCACGATCTCAAAAAAAGTCATCAACAAATACTAAGGCAATAGGAAGAAACAACTGGCAAAAGAAGATTCGCAAACTAACAACTAATAAATGACTACATAAATCATAGAAGCATTTCATCTTTTTCCCTTCCCAAAGTCCGTTGGCTGAAGTATAATAAAGATAAAAC